TGGTGCGTATACCTGCTTTAACCAGCTGAAAATACTCTGTCTATAACTTAGGTATAAGATGCACTGTGCCACCTGAAATGCATCCAGGCATCCTTTGGTTGTCTCTTGTTACCTGCCCACAAAAACATTCAGCAGCATCCTGGGGTGTATTGCACCAACATCATCTCAGCCCCAAAGCCCATCTAGTGAGAGGGCACACCCTAAAGAAAAGGCCTTTGTTCTCTGGAAATACTTAGCTGCTGGAACACTCCCTCAAGCACCAGTAAAACATTCTGGCCCATATTGGTCCTGTCCCAAGAAAGCTGCATAAATGGCTCCCAGCAGCATGGACTAGAAGGTTGTGTGTCCAGTCAGGCGTCTAGACTTGTCAAGAAAGCATGCATCCTCTCATCAACAGTGGCATTAACAGAATAGCTTAAAATATTTAGGATCCTGGCATAGACACCACACAAGACTAGTAAACCAGCCTACAAATCTCTTAAAAGTCAGAATATGTAAAAAAAGTCATACATGTAGGAATGCAATTCCCCTGCTAATCCTTAGTTCCTTCTTTTACAAGACACATTCCACCTGTGTTCCTTCATCTCCAGCTCTTGACACTTTTTGGAAGTACCTCCTCCAAAAGGCAATTCTGGTCCAGGGATTTCAATCAGCGCAGGCTGGAGAGACTACACTGCCAACTCATGGATTATTATTATTTTTTTAATACTAGTCACATAATACTTGTCATTTTCTTTTTGCTCCTGATTAAATGATCCATTTAGTTTTAATTTAAACACATTTTTAAAAGCAGCTCTCCAGCAGTCCTGAAAACAAAGAAAACTTTGAAGACTTAATCCTATATATGCAGAAGAAAAATACATTAAGATAACTGATTTTTGAAAATCTCTAGATTGGCAGGAGTTTAGCTTTTCAACATCTATGGTCATAATTGTTCTCTGCTATTACCTAGGGTCAAAATGCAAATTTAAGAGGACTTAATGAAACCTATTTTTCTTGCAGCCTATACACTTGGAAAGTGCCATTACATGATTCATGTTCTGAGAAGTAACAATACAGTGTGATTAAATATGGGTCCGTTCCAATCCCTGACTGATGCAAAATCCATCATCTACTTACATATATCACCTGGCTTCTTGATATACACAAAGAATAAGTGTACAATCAGCCATATAAATTTCCCCCATGTTGTTTTGCTAATACTTCTCTCTTGCTTGTGAGACACGTTTTACTCCAGGAGCAATCCTCAGTTGCTGCCAAAGCCTCAGTCCTAGTTATGGCGGTAAGGCCTCAGAAAAAGGCTTAGACACAAAACCTCTGCAGGAGAAAAGCAGCTAGATTCCTAGAATACCACTGAACTAATGACACCACGTCCTGCCTTTACATAATCTTTTTCCTAACATTAGAAGTTTACGATTAAACTCACCAATGACTAGTCACAGCACAATGTAATGCAAACAATAAAGTATTTTCTGATCATACACACAAAATGTTGGTATTGACTGAGGGATCAGGTGACTCAACAAATGGCAAGGAAAGCTTGTTTCTCTTGTTATAATTGTGGCAGTGATCCCATAAAAGGCTATGATATTGGACATTTTGGGCTGACCCACCTCTTCCTTCCTCAGGTCCTTATGGATACTCAGGATTCTGTCTCTTGCATTTATTTTATTCTTTGGTTCAAGGAACAGGACACGGATTCCCAGCCTTGTAAAATATAGATTGCAGATGAACGTGAATTAAGAAGAAAACATATTTTACAGCAAAATGAGGAGTGGGGACAGATGAAAAATGTGCAGATTCACTTAAAAGAGCAAAATTAATAATTATCACACCATTTCCTTTAATCTCCCTATGTTGAAAAGCAAACAGAGCATGTTATTTTCACACATCAGAATTTGTTTTTATTGCAGCTAACAACAACAGTTGTTGATGGAAGAGGGGGCAAAATAAGGTGACTTTAAAAGCATTCCTTCATAGGGAACTATGTAAAAGTTACCTGGGCATAAAACTGGAATAATGGCCTGCCATAAACTCTACCTTCAGACTCATGATAGTAAAATTTGATGGGAGTAACACATCTGCATCCTAAACCAACAGAGACTGGTCCCTTTGTTTTCACTCAGTAAACAAACAAACAAACACATAATAACAAATAAACAAACAAACATCAACAACAACCACATATCCTATCTGTGCCCATACCTTGGGCCATGTGAAAGTGAAATTTCAGAAAATCTGAAAAATTGTATAGCCACACAGACAATAAAACCACTGTTTTTTTTAACATGGCAAATTAAACTTTTTTCCCTTACTCCACTCATGCAAGTTTCATGGCTGCTGAGCCATATAACATGGAGCTTCACCCATCTGTTTGCATCAGTAAAAGCTACTGCCCCAGGAATATGGTGCAAGCTGGCACTCTTCATATACTCTGTTTTCCCGTGAGAGATGTCAGCAGGCTAACCCAAAGGACAAGCCGCACCAGGACACACTCCCTTCCCACAGCAGCAAGGACCAATCCTGAAGAGGCAGAGCAGCAAATCTGTAGCACTAGCACAGCTGAATCACTGCCTCCCGCCTTAAGCCACTCTTTTTGCAAATCCTTCTGTAACCTTGCAGGAGGTAGGACTTGCTCATGGATGCACATAATTGTCAGTGCCTTGTATCAGCAGAAAAAGAACCACACTGTTAGAAGGGGAGCAGTTAAAGTAAGCACAAATGCAGTAAACTGAAGAATCTTTGTCATGAAACAAGCAGCCCCCAAAACCCCGTCAGACTTAGACTTTTTATCCCAGAGGACTGCAGCTGTGTGTTTACTTCTGCATTATCATATTTTTCAAGCACCTCCCTGCAGAGGCCTGTCCCCACTGCTCTGTGCACCCTGGGCTCCTGTCTGCCCTGTTCTGATTCCCGGGATGATGCTTAGTGTGACTCTGTGGTGTCAAAGGTGACAACAGCGTGGCCAGGGTGCCAAACTGCCTCTTAGCTAGCTGTCTGCTCCTCTGTATGCCAGGGACTCTACAGCACAAGCTCAGGCACACTTTACCCAGAATTTAGGATGACCACACTTGTCTTCCAATGCACATGTGGGAGACTGAGTTGTACATCTCAGCAAAAAAAAAAAAGCAGAGAGATCATTTGAGAACACTGAAGCTTCATGAATAAAGGAGATTTAATCACCCAGCTGCTCCCCATTTGACTCTTTTCACTTCTAGCTGACTTCTACACTGTGCCCAAGGCACTCTTCTGCCCCCCATACCAGTACCTGAGCTCTATACCTGCCAGGGCAGGAAGGCCCCAGAGCCTTGACTCCTGACACGGAGGAAGGAGCTGTGCTGCTATGCAGGTTGCCTGCTGCACCTCATGCGTGGGGAGGCAGAATTTGCACTATTTTGCAAAGCGCTGTCACACTATACTACTACATTACAATGTGCAATCATCAAACAGTTCTTGATTAGATTAATTAGATTAGTTCTTGATTAAAATCAGCTTCATTAAACCTAAGTAATGACTACTTTGTTTTAATAGCAACCATACCTCCATTCTAAGTGTCTTTCTGAATATTGTCATCTCATTTTAGACCTTTCCGTGACCTCTGAGCAGCTTCACGTCCCATCCCATTTTTCATTTCCCTTCTCATTCTATTTCTTTCCAGGCAGGCAGCTTCCTCCCTCTGAACTGTGTTGAAGCATCTCTCTGGTTCCTGCCTTTCAGTATCTCCAGGGGTCTGATTGTGCATGCAGCCCTTGAAGCTGAATCAAACAGGCACCTTTGTCCTGAGATGACGGAAAGTTAACTGCTTTGATTCCTGTTGCTATTGCATGCAGCAGATAAAACTGGTAATGTTTAGACAAATCAGGTATTTTTCCTGGTGACTGTGTAACTCTTCTCACAAGGTGCCATTTTTACACAAACATGATCTTTCTACACAGGCTACTTGCATCACCTAATTACCATTCTTTCAATACATTAATTTGCATTTAATATACAACACATACAAACATGCTACAGTGCAAAAGAAGGGAAAGGGACAACAAGACAAAAACCTGCAGGTATCTAAAAGAGGCAGAGAAACCTGGAGTGCAAGCAGCTTCAGCTGTGTTCACTCAGTCAAGAAGCAGTGAGCACAACACAAAGTGTGCTAGCAACAGCACGTGGGTAATTGCTTTTCAGAGATTCCCACACCTTCTCCACGGACCTCATTCCTGCAACCTGGGCAACCCTTCACAAATACTTTATGTATGAGAACTGCCTGCTTTTAAGTAGCTAGAAGCTTTGGTAAGAGGATATATTTTCAGTGAATAGATCGATGCCAGAAGAGGTGAGGATATTGAAGTAAATGAAAAACAAAGGCACTGGGCAGCCCTGCGGGCTGTGTACATGGGGACACTTAGTTGGAAGCAGGGGAGCTCTGCCCTCCTTTTCACTCGTCATTGTATCTTTCATTTCTGTTTCTCTTGGAGAGTGTCCTTGAATTCTCCTTCCATGTACATTTATATCATGGGAGAACAGGAAAGCTTACTTTAAAGCTATTTTAACAGCTTCTTTCCCCCTCTTTTTAAAATGACGCTTTGAGCGAATGGAGGTCTGCTTACTGTTTTGGATAGCATATATAATCTGAAGAGGATTAATGTGGTGCTGATTGCTAGGCTAAAGTGGATCCAAAATGTCAGAGCATGATATACCTGATCTAACATGTAACAATAGCTGTAGTTTCAGGTTTATGCTTCTGCTGTTTTAGAATTTTTATTCATTTCAGCAGCAACATAATAATAATGTGCTAAAATTGCTCCTGCGTTACCCTGGATGACTTTCAGAGAAGCAGAAGCTTTTTCTAACAATATGTCAAGTCTTCAAAGCAAGAAACTGAAAAGACTTGAATCAAGATTTGACCAGAGATGAGAGGGCTGCTACTTTGTATAATTTCTGTACATCGGAGCAATTCTATTGCTGACACAGTAGGTTTTACTTGTAGGTAAAATAAATAAAATTGCTTTATGTGGTCAGTAGATATTAAAGAGTGAAATAATCTGCACAGAAACCAGAAGAAGGATTTATTTTTTTTTTTTAAACCTGGATGATTTCGTGAGTTGGCTTACAGCACAGTTCTGCAAGTCTATATCAGCAGAGACAAGGAGAGCAATCTGTGGGGTAAGAAGCACATCAACCAGTGAGTGTGTGGGTGGGAACTTCTTAAACTCAAATTGCACTTGATGAAAAAGTATCTTGCAGTTATCCCATAGGTGGTCATGACTGATATAGCTGAAGCCCTAGGAAGTAAAAGTAAAAATGAGGGAGATTCTAAACACTTTTTTTTTTTTTTTGTTATTTTACTCATGGTTGTTCAGATAGTCTTAATCATTAGGTTTCAGCTTAACACGACAGCAAAGAGAAGAGACCTCAAATCTGAAGTGCAAGTATTTACCATTGAAAAGTCAATTCCTCTGTCATTTGCTCTGGCAATAGTATCACTATAATTACGAGTTTAATATCTGAAATTCATTGATTTCATATTTGTATGCATGTATGCTAACTAAAATTAATTAATTTTAATTGCGTACACCAATTACAACATCAGGCTCATTTTCCAACATATTATTCCTCGCTGATTACATATCCTCCAAGATTGCTTTAATTTTTCATTTTGTGCTTTAAAGTCAAAGAATAATATGTATTTCTAATTAAGCTCACTTACATATCTCACTGCTGATTAAATCACTATTTAATATTTTATAATATAAGCCACCTTTAATTTCCCCCACTGAGAGCAAAAGCCTTGCAAACTCTCTTATTTCTCCCCTCGGTTTCACTGACCTTGCCATTGCTATGTTGCTACAGGCATATTTCTTCCATCTTCACAGCAGAATGTCAAAGAACCACCGCGTTGACAGGAATTCATCCTTTGGGGAAAGGAAGCTCCTTGCTGACCAAAGGTTCTGGTCTGAAGTGATCAGCAACCTGCCACCATCACTAGAAGAAAAGAAACAGACATTCAGGAGACATTTTAGCACTGCCTTATTGGGACTGCAGGTCTTGCTGAGTGTCTCTGGAGCTGACACATTTCAAACCTTCGAGGGGATTCTGGAAGTCTCCTGTTGGTGCCTACCAAACCTGGGCTGGATGCTAGAAAACAAAGATGGTATTCTCCTCTTTCTTTCCCAACCAACACAGCAGGGTGAAACTTGCCAGTCAGTCCTCAGCCAGAACTACTTTAGTATTCCCAAAGTTTTAACATAAATTAGTAGAAAATCTGGAGAAATCCCCAAACTGCTTCTACTTGTCCATGTGTACGTGGGCAAGTACATGTTGTACAAGTTGCGCTGTACAAGCTAAATAGTCTCGTTTCTACTGCGTGAGTGCTGGGATGACAAAAAGGAAGAAGGTAAATCAGATTAAATCCTTAACAAATTTGACTTAACCAAAAGAAATAAATTAAGTTCCTGAGCTACCAACTTAAGTTAGTAGCTTTTTAACCTAAACTTTTAACTTAAGTTAGTAGCTCAGAATTTGACCCAGACTTCACTGAAATCAATGGGAAACTCCTGATCATGTTGTTAGAACCATGATTAATCTCTTATACAATGGATACACGTATCTCTTGTTACTGGAATAGATTTAGGAAGATCAGTGCTGATTTCAGCTCTATATGAAATTGAAACATTCCCAGCATCAATGTTTGCATGCAGAGCACTTTTTGTGTGTGTGTAGATATTAAGAAGAAATCTTTGCTTAAATTACTTGTTAAACTATTCCTTTACACAGGTAACTCTTTGTTAGCATTTAATTAAATGGCTACAGTCTCATTGGCCCATTCATCACACCTACCCTCGTCATGTCAGTGAAGTGCTATATCCCTCCCATAGTCAGGAGGAGACAGCAGTCTCCAGAGCATGTTTCATCCCAGCTTAAGTTTGGTAAGGGATGCTACAACTAGAAAAAGTCTCTCTCAAAACACTGAATGAACTGGGAGAAAAATCAAAACCAGATGACTTTGCATAGTACATTTGGGACTGAAAAGCAGATTTAAACAAAACAAACAATCAACAAAAAAAAGTAAGTATTGGTGCATATATTTGATGGTACCAACATAGGAAGACACAATAAAAGGAAAAATATACTGGTAAAACCATTTACAATGGTATCTGGGAACAAACAAGACATAAGCAAGAAAAACTGGGACAGAAATAAAAAGAGAGGAAAAACTCAGAAATGTAGGAAGATGGAACAACATATGTATTTGCAACATTCCTGTCTCCCACCTCTGCAAAAAAAAATTAGTCATTTATATTCACTTTTCTGCTTAAAACTAGATGATTATGTAGGCTATGTTAGAGATGTAGGTAAATATTGCTGGTGTATCCAGTGGGTTAGCATAATCCTTCCAAGGAAAAAAAAACACATGCCAAACAAAACTAAGGATTAGCCAGCACTTTTTCTCAGAAAATATATAGGAAAAAAAGAAGTTTGACATTTACAGCTGTATTGTAGAACCCTGTTCAAGTCCCTACTGTAGGTCCCTCTATAAGTTTATTCAGTGTCACCAGGGTTCTACAGACAGTGAAATCAAGAGACAGGAGTCCTAAATACAGGCACTAACCAATATTGATTCACCTTTCCCTAATGCACGGACAAAAACATCATCAATAAGCTTGTCAACAGCCTGAAGCAATGAGCATTATAATACTCAACTAAGCCAAGAATAACACAGCATTCATTTATTTATTTCAGTTGCATGCAATCCCCCAAGATTTAAACAACAGGTGTTGATTTAAAACAACAGGTGTTTTAGACGGCAGCTTCTTTTGTGGGTGTCATGCCCTTGTTGTGTCTCAACCTGATTCTGGCTTTAGACTTCGCTGAGCTGGCTTCACCGAACGTTCCATCTACATTCATCTTCACTCTTCTGTTATCTTTTCAGTCCCAAGAACTAGCATTTCAATGCTACTGTTTCTTTCTTTTACTAGGCTATTAAAAGCATATTAAGCAATTCTGAAAGGTTTTTGATTTTTGCTGTATTAAGGGTGCGAAGAATGTGGAAAAGTATTTCAAGATAGAAACAATTCTCTGAAGAGCATTTCCCACTATGTTCACTTCTCTCATTAAAATAAGTGATTGCACAAGTAAGTGGAACACAGGTATCCCCAAAAGGCTATTGATCTCTCCTTGGTGAAAACCATACTTAAACAGAGACTAGCTATTGTTTTGCACTAAAATGGTGCATAAAGGCAAGACAAGCAAAAAAGCCAAAATTTCTGTAATAGCTTGTTTCTAAAACTACATTGAAATCAATACTATGGCATAAGTATAATCTTATGAACCTTTCAATGTAATTGCTACTTGTTTAATTTATTAAAACAACTTAAAGTACTACTTTGGGAAGTTGACAGGCTTTGGGGAAGAGCTGAAATGATTCTTTTCTACATTTTTTATCTCATTATAGCTTTTGCTTTCAGTCTACATATTTAAACAACATTAATTTGGTTTCTAAGCATGTGAGCATCACAAGAATGTGTTTATGATTAGCTGTCTTTCTTCTCCCTTTTGAGAAACTGATGCTGGGCTCAATCCAGGAAATTTGGATAGAGAGCAAGCCTCCAAATATTAACCCCTTTTAAATTACAGAATTTCAGTTCCTCCCCATTAGAAGATTTGAGGACTTTGACACAATTCATTTCTAAGGAAGGAAAAGCACAAATACTGAGCTCCGGTGTCCACCTTTAATAAGGAGTTTTTGGAGCTAGATTTTTCTCCACAGAGCTTCAGACATCAATGAAGGTGATAGAGAAATGTCCATTTCATGGAATATGCATGGCTATATAAATAATAAATAAAACCATTCAGCAGCATAGCATCTGTGAGTCACATGCACAAAGTAATCTCACTAACAAGATAAAAAATGATGTTCTGGCAAAAATTCTGAACAGAAATTTGAAGAAAAGGATTTCCTTACCCTTACACAGAGTGAAAAGAGAAATCTTAAAATGATCTGAATATCCTTTTATATTACCCTTAGGTATCCTTTGCACTGCTCAGGGATTCAAAGCATTGTTCTAATAAGAAAAGGAACCTCGTAAAAATGGCAATGTGGAGTTCAGTAGTTGATGCCTCTCAGGAATTTCAGATCAAATATATCACTGTTGGCGATGGTCTATTGGCTTCCTACATGCTGTAGCCATTCTAAACAATCACTGTGTAGCTGAAGCCAAACTAGATCCTGTCTGCTGTATGGCCACCAGCAAATAAATGATGCATCTTTGTAAAGAGCTAATTAGGTCTGAAGCATATCTTTATGGGTCCACTGTCATCAATGTATATACTGAACTAGGACACCATCATTAATTTCGATAGTCTCTTGAAACTGATATATTCTTTAATTAAAATTCATTAAACACTTCTAATGATAAAGACACACAGAAAGGAACAGAAACAGGATCTCTTCCTAGAGCTGTGTCACTTCTGAAGGATGAACAAGAGTAAAGCAAGGTGTAGAGACATACTTTTGTCACTAAAGTCAGTGCACAAAACTCTGAATAACTATAGGGATCAGTTTTAACATGTTAAAAAGTGACATTTCAGTGCTGTCACTTTTCAAATTGGAAGCAAACTTTCAAAGAATACACAGATTTAAAGAAGTATTCTGCAGTGGTTAACATATTAATTTTATGCTAGAAATGTTTAGCAGGAACTGCAAGATAGGGTTGCTTATGTGGTCTTTCTTAAAGATGTTCTATGTCCATGGTTTACCAGTAATAAAATAAAAAGAAAAAATGGAAATGAGTTACTAGGTTAACAGTTGGACTAGATGATATTAGATGTCCTTTCCAACCTAACTGATTCTATGGTTACATTTTATACTATCATAGGTGTAAGTCTTGTCTGACATCGGGCAACTTCTGGGCTCTTATCATAAATGACACCCCTTTAGCCTCCCCTCTACCAAAAGCTTGCCACATAAGCCCAGTAAATTGGGGCCATCTCAAAAGAAGCCAGGCTCCTAAATTTTGGAAGCTGAAATGGGCCTTAAATCAGTACTTTTGATGGTCCACTCCAAAAATTTCTCCTTCTACAAAAACGTTATGATTGGCACTGAAGGTTCTATTCCTAACATGCACACACAAAGAAATAATAAATTTACTTAGCTCCCTGAGCTCCTTTATTAGCAATAACAAGAGCTTTTTAGTGCAGCAGGGGCAGCTCTGCTTGGGTTTGCAGCAACCATTTTGAAGAAAGAATGAAGGAAAATGAGAGAAATATCAGGCAAAGAACATGGAAATATTGATAAGAGGGAAGCAGCAGTGGAAGAAGAAACTAGGTATTAATTGAGGCTCAGTTGAAGCGATAAGAAAACACTTGGGTGACAGATTTTTCTGGTTAAATTATGAGTCTTTCGGATTCTCATGGATTATAGTTTCAACACCAACTGTATAACCTTGATGCATTACATTGATTACACCTTGGAAATGGCTGATGTTCAAGAAGGACAGGCAACTGCTTGGAGAGTCCAGCGCAGAGCCAAGGATGATTAAGGAAGTGGAGCAGCTCCCTTATGAGAAAAGGCTGAGGGAGCTGGGTCTCTTTAGCTTGGAGAAGAGGAGACTGAGGGGTGACCTTAGAAATGTTTATAGGTATGTAAAGGGTGAGTGCCAGGAGAATGGAGAGAGGTTCTTCTCACTGACATCCAATGATAGGACAACGAGCAATAGGTGCAAGCTGAAACATAGGAGGTTCCGCTTAAATATGAGAAGAAACTCCTTCATGGTGAGGGTGACAGAACACTTGAACAGGCTGCCCAGGGGGGTTATGGATTCTCCTTCACTGGAGACATTAAAATCCCACCTGGACGCATTTCTGTGTGACATGATCTAGGTGTTCCTGCTCCAGTCCAGGGATTGGACTAGGTGATTCTTCAAGATCCCTTCTAATCCCAAACATTATTTGATTCTGTGATATGTTTTGGTTTCAACCAAACC